TAGTTATAAGTTTTTTAGATAAGTGAATATAAATATGATATAAAATTATGTAGTCATCAGCTTACAGCTGTCAACAAGCTGTCAACTAACTGTCAAAATGCAATAATAAAGTCAAAAAGTTACTTTTTTTAAAAAGCTTTAAGTTGCTTAGATCACCGAGTTCAAAAGTAATGTCATAAACTTATATCATGTTTGATTTCTTATCCACAAAGTTAAGCACAAAAAATAAGTTACTTGCTCTATTAGGAGTTATTAGGAGTTAAAATTAAAATTCATAAAAAAAAATTTGTTTAAAAAAAAAATTGAACAAAAAAACGTCAGTCTAGAACCCGTCTCATAAATTTGCATATTGAAAGACGATTTTTTTGAGAATTTTTCGGAGGAAAAAAGACTGGTTTTCAAAAAGCACTTTTTTTGTTTAAAAATAAAAAAACTAAAAATGTGTAATTTTTATAATTTTTTTATAAAATTGCATCTGAAAACGAACAAAATAAAAAAAAGTTTATATCCTGTTTTTGTCACGTTACAGGCATTTGAAAATTTTTTACCGAAAATATTCAAATGCTTGTAACTTCGTGAAAGATTGAAATAAAAATTTTAAAAAATTCATGAAAGTTAGTAATAAATAATACCAAAAAATTAGAAAAATCAAAATGGACTCACCACCAACATAAACAGAGTTCATACAAATCATTCGACTGCCTTCAGTTGCATTAAAGTAACAATAATAATTAGCTTCTGTCGTTTTTGGATGTTCTCCAACGTATAAGTTAATGCTAGTAGAATTGATGATTTTGACCTGCAACAGAATTAAAACATAATTTACAATTTTTAAAAATGTTTAAACTAACTAGACCGATCAAAATAACTCATTTAGAGGGAAAAAAAAAAAAGAAAATTGTTACCTGGACTTTTATAAGTGGAAATGGTAAAGGGGCTTATGATAAACGAAAAAAAAAAATAAATGCGTGATCAAGGGCGGCGGCGGAGGAGGGTTGATTTGGAGGAAAAGTTGTGAAATATTGTATCATTGGAATTTCTGGCGAAAGTTGACGTCCGACAAAAAAGTATCCAAGATAAAAGTTGTAGATCATGCAAAAATCTACAACTCTTGTAGAGGTCATTTTTTAACATAACCTCACAATTTCCGAGAAAAATGCGAAAAACAGTTTTTTTCTGACTTTTCGTTTTTTATTTCTCATTTCCGCAAAAATAATTTAATTTTTACGAAACTTGGTGAAAGTATACCTTTCTCTGTCTTAAATAACCTCAAATTTTTTTAGATAAAAAAATCAGGAAGTTTCTGAGATATTCGTTTTTTTCGGCCTGAAACACTTTTTTTTCAAAGAAAAATTCTACTTAAAAAAATCACCGTACAGAGTTCTGCCGGTAAACGTTTTTTTCATTTTGACATACTTTTTGGTGAAATAAAAAATCTGTAATCGCAGTTCAAAAACATGCTCAAAAATGTAAACAAAATAAAAAATGAATTGCAGCAATGAATTTTTCAGTAATTGTTGATAATTTGTTTAAATTTAAAAAAAAATCAAAAACTGATTATACCGCTCAATTGTACGGAAAAAATACAAAAAAAACTCTCATTGTTTAATCCAAAACTATTTTTGTACAGTATTGCTATAAACATAAGTCGAATAGCGAATAAATAAAATAAATAATAATTTTTTTCCGTAGGATCAATTAGTGTACTTATTTTTTTTAAAGTTTGATGAATTCATAGATATACAGTGTGTCCAAGATAAGAATGGGATAGGCATTAGAATCTAGGAAACGGTAAGATATACGGGGTGGATCATATTAGAAAAAAGTTGTGTTTTTTTATACCTAACCTGTTTAGAAAGTTTTAAAATTCTGAGTAGTTCCGGAGATATCCGGAAAAGCCCGAAATTTTTCAAAATTGTTAAATTTTTTCTGGCTTTATTTGAAAACGAATTTTAAAATAAATTACGTATTTCCAATGCCACTTTTTTCTCGCTCTATACAATGGCGTCAACATTTTTGCAATCCGATGTTTCGTCTTCGAGGGGCCATCATCGGGTTAATTTTTTTAAATACGTCGCTGCCATTTTTATGACAAAATCAAAAGTCATTTTTAATTCTGAATTAGAGGATATTACTATTGTAATCGCTTAAAAAGTTTTTAGCTTGTTTTAGTAGCTATAATTTAAAATATTTCCCGAGTACGGCTCTGAACCCTTTCAAAATATCTATTGGATGAAGTCATAACAGTATAAAAGTCAATACCGCACAAAATATTCAACAATTTTTTACTACCGTTAGCAATACTAATTAGAAATAATAAAATATTCATAAATTCGTATTATTTTTTTACTAGGTACTTTTTAAATTATGGATTAAAAAAAAATGTTGGATATTTTGTGCTATATTGACTTTTATTCTCTCCTCTCTCTCTCTCTCTCCTCCAATAGATACAGGTATTTTGAAAGCGTTCAGTGCCGCACCCCGGAAAAATTTTTAATGATAGCTAAAAACCTTTTTATCATATTTTATCAATACAGAATTAAAAATGACTAGATTTTGTCATAAAAATAGCAGCGATATATTTAAAAAAATTAATCTGATGATGGACCCTCGAAGACGAAACGTCGGATCGCAAAAATGTTGACACCATTCATAGGATATAGCGAAAAAAGTGGCAATGTAAATATGCAATTTATTTAAAATTCGTTTTCAAATAAAACCAGAAAAAAAAATAAAACGATTTTCCAAAATTTCGGGTTTACTTTGTATTGCTAAAATCGTTCAGAGATAATTTATTATTTGTGTATTTGTAATTCGACTTAGATGTTTATAGCAATACTGTACAAAAATAAAGTTTTGGGTCAAACAATGAGAAACAGTTTTGTTTTTATTTTTTTTTTTTTTCGTAGAACTGAATGGTGCAAACCAGTTTATGAATGTTTTTTATTTTAAACAAATTATCAACAATAACTGAAAAATTCATTGTTGCAAGTCATTTTTTATTTTTTTTTTGCATTTTTGAGTATGTTTCTGAACTGTTATTACAGATTTTTTTACTTCACCAAAAAGTATATGTCAAAACGAAAAAAATGATTACCAACAGAACTCTGAACGATAATTTTTTTAAGTAGAATTTTTCTTTGAGAAAAAAGTGTTTTAGGCCGAAAAAAAGAATCTCAGAAACTTCCTGATTCTTTTTATCTAAAAAAATTGGAGGTTATTTAAGACAGAGAAAGGTATAATTTCACCAAGTTTCGTCAAAATTAAATTATTCTTGCGGAAATGAGAAATGAAAAACAAAAAATCTGAAAAAACCGTTTTTCGCATTTTTCTCGGAAATTTTGAGGTTATCTTAAAAAGTGACCTCTACAAAAGTTGTAGATTTTTGCATAATCTACGATGTTTGTGTTGGATACTTTTTCGTCTGACGTCAACCTGTCCACGCATTTATTTTTTTTAGGTTTATCATAAGTCCTTTTACCATTTCCACTTATAAAAGTTTAGGTAACAATTTTTTTTTTCTCCAAGTGTAATTTGGTTGGACTAAACATTCTTCATATAAAATAAACTTACCATCTCGGGTGGAACAGGCTTATTATCTCGCATGAAAAATAATCGAGAACTCGCATTTAAATCGTCCTTACCAGCGCCCTCTTTGAGCAAATTACAAGTAATATTCAAAGCTTCTCCATAACGAAGCACTATATCTCCCTGCGGCACCGTATCTGAAAATCAATTATTAATATTTTTGCTAGAAAAGAATCGTAAAAACCACTTACATGCGTCTCTAATACATTCTTGTCGTGCAGTTGAAACAAATGTTACAAGCACAACAATAGATTTAATGTAGTTTTTGGCAGATGCCATGTTCATTCAACGAAGAAACCTCCCGTAATGATACTATCCGTAAAGTGCGAGTTAATATATAATTTTATTCTTTACTAACCCTGACCTTAACTGATAATACTTACACGCAAAAATAAGATAATGTACTTATTTTTCAAAGAATTGTCCATGTTTCATAGTGACAAAAATAATGATGAATGATAAACAACGCAAGCAAACACGTTGTTTATTTATTAAAAAATACTCGGGTTTTCCAAAAAAGTCATTTGCTCCTTTTGCTGGTCCTAATCTTTGTTGCTGGACAGTTATCGACTACCCGTTATATTCCGTTAAAGGAGTGGCCATCTTACAGTCCCTACGTCTACCCCATTGAACATTTATGGGGCCGTCTTAAAAAGAAGGCCCAACGTCGTAAATTTGCTGGTGCTAATTTTTTTTTATTGCCATTTTCGTATTTAATTAATTTTCAAGAAAAGAAGTGTTTAATGATTTTAAGTAAGGTCATGTTTGGCACATTTCTTTCTCAAGTGATTGTATAAACTCATATTTGTATTTCGAGAATTCACCACACTTTCCGTTCCGGAAAGTGTCGAGTTCATTTCATACAATAAATAACAGATGGCGCTTTTGCTCCAACATGGATAAGTGAGAATAAAAATAATGCAAAGGACCACACGCACAGTTAATGGAAATCGGCAACCCGTCAAATTGTCTGGAAGTGAAACGTGTTATATCCTGATCGAAAATTAGTCACAGGCCCAAGACCCAAACATGAATACTTATCCATTAGCGATATTGAAGGTGCGGTCGCTTAACACAAACTTAAACTCATCAGTTATGGGCGTTTTTAATGAGATCCCGTCAATTTTTTATTAATAGATTTGTTTATTCGCCACATTGGCTACCATTTTTAAGGTGCTATTAAAAAAAATATATACATTTGTAATCGCAAGTTTTGAGACAGAGTCCTAATGTCGCACATTTGCATATACTTTATTACGTAAGGTTTACGGAAAGCTGAAAATTTAAAATATAAGACGTTTTATACCAAAAACCATCTTTTTCTTTTTACTATACGTCCGTTTACGTTTACTATATGGTATTTTTTTAATTTACTTCCGCTTCTTTACTTTCCGCCAGCTTTTTTCTTTCTGCCTGCATTTTTTAACATTACATATACTATTTTTGTCCCGCTTCTTTCTTTAGACACCTGCTTGTTTTTATATTACACCCGCTTCTTTACTTCTCACCCAATTTTCTTGTTATCCACTTGGTTATTATTTACGTCCGCTTTTTTCGTTTGCGCTTGCATTTTTCTTTCATTGTTCCCAATTTTTTGCTTCTTGACAACTTTTTTACTGTACGTCTAGTTTTCTTATTTTACACCCGCTTCTTTACTTTCCGCCCACTTTTCTTGCTATCCGCTAGGTTATTTTTTACGTCCGCTTTTTTCGTTTGCACTTGTATTTTTCTTTCACTGTTCCTAATTCTTTGCTTCTTGACAACTTTTTTACTTTACGTCAGTTTTTCTTATTTTACACCCGCTTTTCAACTTTGCACCCGCTTTTTTCTCTATAGAAGAACGTACATGCGAACTCGCCTTGTTTCTTTCGGGGAGGAAAAGATAGAGAGAGAAAACCCGCTCACCTTCAATATCGCTTGTCTCGATACTTACTCATTTTTGGGTCTTTGTCCCGTGACAACTTTCGCTCGGGACATCGCAAACTACTACATTTCATTCTCAGATAATTTGACGGGTTGCCGATTTCCGTTAACCGTGTGCGTAGCCAACAAGGGGGGAGGGGAGAAACAAACCAAAAGAAAAAAAATTAAAAAGTTTATTACATAAAGAGGAATGCTATAATTACAAAACACCTCTAGTGACGGTCTTTTTACTGCTACGATAAAACATGCGTAAAAAAAATAGAGTAACTGGGATAATAAGGACCGCGGCCCCGGGTAAAATAAGTACCGGCTGTCTCGATCTCCGTTACGGTGAAACGAGATGAGTGATGCGTACCGTTGAGAGAAAAAACTCCTTTGGAGCCGGAAAAATTAAAACGACGTAACTGCAATAAAAAAAATTATCGATCAAGGCGAAAATGGAATGTTTCTTTGGGAGTTAGTACGGGGCGTTTCGAAATTCGGCTACGACTGAACCTTTAGACCAACTAAAGAAAAACATACTTTATGAATAACTTTCGAGCACAAACGCCGCTAATAAAACGCTTGATATCCGACGCCATGTACATTTGTTGAAATTTTATGACCCTGTCGGAAAATATACTGGGTGTTTAGCAATTAATCGGTCAAAGTAAAATTCCAGTTCGGGAAGTTGAGATTAAGAAAAAAAATCGTGACGCTTAGTTTCCGAGCTACAGGATGTCGGAATTTGAAAAAAACGTAATGTTATTTAAAAATACGATTTTTTTTTAATTTCAATATGCTCTGCCCTGAAAACGAAGTGTTTGCATACGTTTCCGAATATTAAGTTCGGCCAATTAATCCCCAAACAATCTGTAGACTATTCGTCCGATCGTCGCACCGAAAACGTCGTGTTACGAAATTCCTCAAATCGGAGGCGAAAAACCCAGCGTTGCCTAATTTTTAATAGAAAACTCGACCGTTTTTGTAATTTAAAAAGAAAGTTCCGCCATTTCCGATACAACGTAACAATAAAAAAAATACCGGTTTCGTTCGATTCCGCTCCAAGAGACGACGCGCCGACTATCCGCGTATGCTACAAAAAGAAAAAATAAGGAACTGTATAACAGCTCTCGTAAAATCGAACCTGAGGGAAGGACGCGCCCAGCTATCGCGTCAGCCGCTTCAGATTATTCTTGCTCTGTTTGGAACAGATCGCGTACGATTTGACCTTGGGGGGACTGGACGGCTCCACGATCTCGACCGGTTTGGGCGCCTCCATTGGTATGACGGGCAAGATGGACGAGCGGCGTTGGACCTTGTGGGGGTACGTCGCACCCTGGATATTGTTTTTGGACGAGAGGGCCCTCGGTTTGATCTGGAAGAAATCGAGTTGAGGTTCGTTGTTCGGGACGACATCAGAACGTTTTCGTCAACGGAATTAGTAACGGTTCTCGTGGAAAGCGGGTTCTCGGTGAGAGAACGATGCCGGGAGAGAAAACTGAGGAATAAAATATAATTTGTTTCCGTTGTACCAGTAAAAAAATTTATTATCGAAAAAAAAACGAGACAATTTTATTTAGAAAGAATTTACGTAACAAATTTCGATGATCGTTTCAGAAATTGGTATACAGGGTGTTGTAGTTTCGTTTTGAAAACATTTGGCGGAACCACTAAACATAACGGGAATTTTTCGGGTCAGTTTTCCCAGGATACTTTACCTGAAATTATTAAACTAGTCACAAATCTAGCGGAATTTTTTTTTTATAAATTTTTGCTTTCCTTTCAAAAGGTCCAGGGGCTTCAATAAATTTTTAATTTTTTTTCGATATTTAACATTTTTCGATGAAAATATGGATTTTTGCGAAAAAAAATTTTTCAATTTTAAAAATGATTAAAAGATGGAAAATATATCCTTCAACTGACTTTTAGCAAAAGTGACAATTTCAATCATCCGGATCACAATGAAAGAAACAATTTAGTGGTTTCAACTTTTGAGGATTTAAAAAAAACTGGAAAATATCCTGTCTATTCATTATTTGTAAAGTTATCTCAAATTTAGCGAAAATCCTTAAATACGCAATTTTGAATGAAGTTCCTTGCATCAAAAAAATTTTTTATCAAAAAACGATACGAACTTATAATAGTCCAACCAAATTACACTTGGAGAAAAAAAAATTGTTACCCCGACTTTTATATGTGGAAATTGTAAAAGGGCTTATAATTAACCTAAAAAAAATAAATGCGTGAGCAGGGGCAGCGGAGGGTTGATTTGGGGGGTTGAAAAGTTATGAAAAATTGTATTATTGGCATTTATGGCGAAAGTTGACGTCAAATAAAAAAATACCTAATGCAAAAGTTGTAGATCATGCAAAAATTTACAACTTTTGTAGAGGTCATTTTTTAACATAACCTCTAAATTTCCGAGAAAAATGCGAAAAACAGTTTTTTTTCTGATTTTTCGTTTTTTAGTTCTCATTTCCGCAAAAATAATTTAATTTTGATGAAACTTGGTGAAAGTATACCTTTCTCCATCTTAAATACCCTCATATTTTTTTAGAAAAAAAAATCAAGAAGTTTATGAGATATTCATTTTTTTGGCCTGAAACACTTTTTTTTCAAAGAAAAATTCACTTAAAAAATCATTTACCATTTCCACATATAAATGTCCAGGTAACAATTTTCTTTTTTTTTTCCTTCTAAATGAGTTATTTTGATCAGTCTAATAAAGGATCCTTTCAAGTTTTCAAAACCCTGCTTTTTTGTACGATTGTTAGTCACCAAAACATTTTTATTCTTCAATTTTTGTAAATTGTGTATTTTTTTTAAAATAAAAAGTGATAATTCATTTTTTAAACTACACTTTTCGTCTACGCCATCACTGAGCAGCACCCGAACTCTGTTGTGTCAGTGTGCTTATCATCATTCAATTTGAAAACATGCAAATAAAAAAAGTTACAAACAATTATTTAGACGATAGGGCGCAGAATTTTAATTTTTTTTTATACAAATCTAGTATTTTTTTGATAATAAATTCACCTAATTGAAAAAAAAGTTACCTAACAACAAAATTGTACGGAAAATAATTTAAATAAATTAATTTCAAGGTCATACTTATTTTTACGAGTGGGATCACGTCTAAAATTTTTGGCTCACAATTACCGGAGACCCTCGACTTTATTTTTGTTTGATTCATGTTAATTAAAAGTATAACTTTACTACTTCTTTTAAAACTGTTTTGGCAGCCCTTTGTCAAAAATCACTTTGTACGATTTAAGAAAACTAAAAAAAAAAACAAAAAGGAACTAAAAAAAAATTAAGCAACTAAGACCAATGGGTTTTTTAAAATTCTTTCAACGTCAATGTCCGCATCTCGAAAACAACTGAGATTACAAAATAATAAGCCATTATTTTTACTTGATCTGCATCTTCTCGAATTTTGTCCAAAATAAAACACCCCGTATATTAATTCGACACCCTGTACATTAATTCTTGTAATGGTTACAGGAAATTAGTCAAGCAAATTTTTTTAAATAAAATCGTACTGGTCAGGGAAAAAAACATATGTTTTGACTGGAAAACAGCGAAAAGTCCGTTAATCCTACCCATCCTTAAAGAAAATGTTCCGCATTATCGTGTCGTCAAGAAAAAACGTTCCCTTTTAACAGTTTATAAAAAAGAAAACGTTTTCGTCGAGTCCCGACAAAATTTTTACTGTCTCCGCTGAGCTCACCGTAGAAGGCGTCGTGAAGGACCTGGACAGGTTCCTCTTGGCCTTCAGCACCGGGGTGTTGCCCTCGCACTCCGAGAAGAACCCCGAGGAGTCGTACTTGTTGGACAGACTGAGATTCAGGGAGGACGACGAGAAAAAGGAATTGCTGTTGTCCGTCATGTAGTCGCTCGTGATGGTGGAGTTGCTGAGGTCGCCCAGTCGACTCCTACGTGGTCAAAACAATAAGAAAATAAGTCGCTAATGTTTCTAATGGGATCAGTGTAGGTCAGATATAACCTATAAAGCATATTATGTCATATCTTGAACGTCATTTTTACTCGACGCCTACTGTACAAAGGACCTACTAACTTATAGTAGTTTCCAAAAAGTTAATATTGCATGATTTATTAAAATTTTACCATTGTTAGTACGTAGATACGTTACTAATTGTAAATAACACTAATTTATATTTTAAAACAATTAATTTTGCTGTTTTGAAAAAGCAACATAAAAAAAATAAATGGAAGTATCTATTGTGATAGATTTGAGACATTTTTTAAGAACAATTTCAGGCTTTTAATACAAATTATTTTTGAAGCACTGTGTTGAGTCTGTGAATCCCGGTGTCGATGACCTCTGACATGGACTTAATTTGCCTAGGGCAAATGTATAAACTTTGTAAATTTATTTATATCGGTATTTAGTGATGGTACTGCGTGTTTGTGCATCTTCATTGTTAATTTTCTGTGCCATTATGAAAAAATATGCATTTGAATCGAGAAAAATAAGATTTGACGAAAGTTGGGTATGTATACGCAGTTGTTTGAGATTATACTAGCCTGGCCAGTGACGGGATATGGCAATTAGGAAAAAAAAGGTTAAAAAAAAATCAGTTTTCAGGAATTTGAGAAAACAAACTTAAGTCCGATTCCCATTTGTACACCCTGTAGAGCAAAAATCATTTTTTTTACAAAATTTCACAATGAAACTAGGGCATATGTTTATATCAGCACAATATAGTTTTTTCAAGGTGTTTTAGAAATATGACCAAGACGAAGTAAATATAAAACAAATATAAAACTGAGAGCTTTCCTATGTAGTCCAAGCATTCTGTCACGGCTTAATGTTAACTTTGCAGAAATTATTACCTGAACAAAAAAAATATGACCGTATAGGAAATTAAATTTTAAATTGAGTATCTTGATCTTTAAACTCGATCCAAAATGGCGAACATACTTAAAAAAAATCGCAAAGTTGCAAAAAACGGTTTTTCTAAAATAACTAAAAAATATAGCACCGACTGAAAAATTTTAAATGAGAAAGTTGTATGTTTTAAAAAGATCTATCGACTGATTTTTTGTAAGTATCGATTGCTTCTCTTTTCTGTTCTTCTATAACTCGTTTACATTTACATTCCCATACTTGCTATTTACTGCAAGCACAGCCCGCGGCAAGCCAAAAAAGTACATTTTTGAAAAATTTAAAAATATTAATTATTTTTCAATATATTGATTTTTTGAAAAAAAGGCGCTCTCAAAAATTGGCTAGATCTTCTCAGCGGATAGCCCTACAGTAACGATTTTCGGTTTATTTTCTTCGTAAAGAGTTATATTATCATACTGTTAAAAAATGTTGACGATTTTATTAATTTTAAGGATCAAAAAATGACTTTGAAAAAGTTGCACTTTTTTGGGTATGTTACTATTTCAATTTTTATTTTATGAAAATGACTTTTAAAGAAAGAAAACTAAACATTTACGGGTCTATTTTGCTTCTAAGGCGAAAATGCTATAATATTCGTGTTTAGCTACCCCAGATTAAGTACAAAAAAATAATAAAAATTGAAATAGTTATTTGAAAAAAACATACCCAAAAAAAGTGCAACATTTTCAGTCATTTTTTGATCCTTAAAATTAATAAAATCGTCAACATTTTTTAACAG